TTAGCAATATGTCTGGCAAGTGGATGGCAATATGTGACCACAATAACCGTACAAGTGTGACGAATTCTCCTAATCATGGAGTTTCTCAACAACGGATGATTTCTTTACAATTTTACGTGAGATGAACTTTTTTGAATTGATTGGAAAAACTTCTTTCTTCAATTTGTGTGCGGGATACAGAGTACCTTCTAGTCGGATATTTCCAAAAGCGAACACTTATTTGTTGTTGTTTTTTTATTGTTGCTGTTCCAGCTGAAACCCGTTGTGCTCAAGTACGACTCAAGCAATCAATTGGCAGCAGCAGCAGCAGCAGCAGTTTCAACTTGAGTGCGAAATCAACAATCGAGCATCTCAAGAATGACTTAACAGCGTGACATAAAAACAACAATAACAACAGCAATAACAATAACAAGCAAATACAAAACAACAACTAAAAGCTGCTAATAGCTGGCAAAGCTCTGTCAGCTTTGTTACGCCTTTTAGAGGTGTTTGCATTTCAGTTCCGGCCAACTCAAAAATGCTCCAAGGTGTGCAAATGAGCATTCTCATTTGCATTGAGTGTCAAATGCATCCATTAAATTGAAATATTTGTAATTTGCTATTGCACACACTCGCACCGTCCAAACTGTCATCGCTGCTCTTTGTTGCAATTTGCAACAAATTCTCATTTGCATTGCGCAAAACGGCGAAAATTGCACAAACGACACTGTAAAAATTTTTGTTGCCAATTTTCAATGACCATAAATTGTAGCAGTTGTCGTTTGCATAAAATTCCAGCAACAGCAACAAAAACTCTCGTAATTGTAACCAAAAACAACAAGTCGTTTTACTAACTGATCCAATAGAGACAGACAGTATGTGTGTGTGTGTGAGAGAGAGAGAGAGAGAGAGTGGGTGAGAAAGAGACCGACTGACTGCACTAACGTCAATTTCCAATGCGTTTATTGAGTGCGCATAAATTTCGTAAGCTCCAATTTTGATGGAAAATTGATATGTGCACATACACATACATTTATGATGTACAAAACACATATGTATATATATGTATATATATATATATATATGCAAATGTGAATACATATGCATATGAATACTCTGCCATTGTCAAACAAACAACAAAATCAAATTTAAAGTGAAATGTAAGTGAATTTGCGTAAAAAAAAATGCTATCAAAATATGAGCGCACTAATTTTATTACAAATTCTGAATTTTTATCCTTTGCGAAAGATGAAATACATCAGTATGTGATATGTTCAATTCCGATCAGAATAATATTGGAGCTAAAATGTATAGTATTTTTCTCAATCCTTGGTATATTTGCTTCGTTTCCTTCGATCATTTCATTTTAAATGTATATATTGTTTTATTTATATTCCAAAGTCAAACTATTTCGAAAGCGTATAAGAAGTCAAAAACTTTCATCCTGTTCAAACGTTATACGATTGTAAATATTCCTTGCAAGAATAAAATAAATTAGTAAATTTGCCCAAACTATTGTCAGTCATGCAATACTCGCAGCATGCAACTAATCCAATTGAAACATTTATTATCTCGCAATATTTTATTTCTATGTAGGGTATTTTCCAATTATTTGTAGTAGTAGTTGGCGAAGCGTTTAATAAATCAAACAAATAAGCATTCACACAATTTACAATTTATACAAAACCAAACAGCGAATCAAAACCAGCCCAAAACCGTCGCGCTTTTAATTAGACATACAAAATAAATGAAATTAACAAGCCACAAAATAATAAAAAATAATTGTATATATAATTGCTACAACGGCGAAAATGTTAAATTTGCTTATCTATTTTTTTTTATTTTTTTTTTGTGGACCCGTTTGAACAATTTATTAGCAAAGCGAAAGAATTGATTGATCTGCCCCAGAGCAGAGGCGATGTGTGTGAGTGTGTGTGTGTGCCCCTAGGGGCTATCTGTCTGTCTGTCTATCTATCAATCGTCCAGCACTCCCCCAACCCCCCCGTCACGATTGGGTTCAATCAAAATTTGTAATGAACAAGCCGGAAAAAATTAAACACACACAGCGAGAAATATTCTACAGAGCCGTTGTTCGCTTTTAGTTGTTTGCTTTGCTTGGTTGTTGTTGTTGTTATTGTTGCTGGTGTTGTTGCTGGTGTTGTTGCTGCGGTTGTTTGGTGTTGGGTGTTTCATTATGCTGCTGTTGCGGCTGTTGCGGCTCTTTGGCGCTGCCTTTACATTTTAATGATACAATTTAAAATCAACGCAGACTCATGATTTTGCATATTTTGAGCATTAAATTCTTGTGGGTCCGTGGGCCGAATGCTGTTCTGATTCCGTTTCCATTTCTGCTCGCTTGCCGCATAATTCAGGCAAAGTTTTCAGTTTTTTGCTTTTGTTTTTGTTGTTTTTGAACAGCAATCAATGGCCGAGAACCAAGCCAGCCGCCCGCTGTGATTTGACCAAAAACTGACGGACCACCGTCTTAGCCGGGCCCGCTGAATGCTCGCCTGGCCAAAACGGCTATCAAATAAATAACACCGCAGACCCGCAGCGTGTGCGAAACGTAATAGAAATGAGAGGCAAACAGTTAGCTTCAGTGTGCCAAATTTGAAATACCCTTCACGGAACCTAAACAGAGATCGATCGTTTCTATGGATGCCATATGATGCTGTCCGGTGATCACAATTATTGGCCATTTAGTTCTGGTAAAAATAATGAATAATTTCTCAGTTTTTTTCGGTATTCAGTAGCAGTGCCGTAATGCTCCAAATATACTGAGTCTAAGAAAAAAAAGTTTGAAATTAACAACACTTGTAATCCAGCTGTCAAACCGCAACTTATTTAAGGCTCCGATTCCGGTTCTGATGCGCACAATGTAAAGTAAACGTAATGCGTTTTTCCAAATTATTTTCAATATTCGGTACCGAAAAGTTTGAAAAACCAATTAAGTACGATGTTTTGGGTAATAAAATAATAATTTTTAGTTATTGATTCTTAAAAATGTTGCTTATATTTCAGTTACTTTCCTAAATTGAAATCAGTTAATTTCCAGTCCCGATTTAACACAGACTGAGTTGATTCATACATTTTGTTTAACAAAATAATCACACCAGGACTTTTCAAGAGTATCTGCATGAAGCACAAAAGAAATGCGAATACCCTGTGCATAAGTGTATAGAGATATCAAAAGCTTCTAATGCTGCTGATGGGTGCGCCACTCCATCTACAGCAATGAAAAGATACGAGAACGGGCCGCAACATTTTAGCTAAACGGCGCGCATTACTTTTAATTAAAAGCAACGATGGCAACGCCAGCAGAAAGCAACTGCACATGACTTGAACTTGAACTCACATAACGAGGCGACCCCAAAGACCGAGAGAGAAACAGAGAGAGAGAGAGAGAGAGAGACCCGAGACCTCAGACCTCAGACCTCAGACCTTGCTCAATCTCAAGACTCAAGAGTCCAAGACACCGACACAGACGACGTGTCGTCCAAGAGCACGACCACCACTGTGTCTAATTCCAAGTCCAAGCCGCACATGATTACCCATAAGCTGACATCGCTCGTTCCACAGTTCGTTGCACAGAGAGCGTAACAGTTTGACTTTAATCAGTTTGCCACAGCAGCAGCAACAGCAACAACAACAGCAACGACAACAACTTACAAGCTGGCATTTCATGTTAATTTCCAGTGAGTGACATTGCGCATACGCAACGCTGTCTGCCAACCAGCTTAATTACATGAAGAAAAAAAAAACAACATGTTAAACTTGTAGCCAGATTATTTACAAACCGTGAGCAATAAGCCATCAAATTTTAATTAGACACGCATTAATTAGCTACATTAGAAGCACATCTCAAGTGGGCGTCAATTCAATTTTTCAAGCTTTACATGGCAATAAAAGAAACCAGTCTGTATTCGATATTAAATACGTATTTTTTATGCGTATACCTTTGATTCTATAAGGAAAAAAAAATAAACAACCATCTCGCACATACAAACAGGTACAGGTAGACATGACTGTAACGAATCGGTTACCGATGCTAATTACTTGTACTTTACAAGGTCGCCAAACAAAGAAACTTTAATTTATTTTGTACTTTTGTAAATATTTCCACAAACATACTTTATTCAAATTCTTAAAGTCTTATGTAAGACTTTTTATTTTGACTGCCGATTGCTCGAACTGACTGTGTTGGAGAATACTTAATTAATTGATTGTGCGGCTGTCTGTCGGTCTGTCGGTCTGTCGGTCTGCCTATCTGTCGGTCTGTTTAGCCTCTCGCCTCAGGTGCCAACGAGGCGTTGTGACGACCCACGCCCAATTCCATTTCCATTTCCAATACCAATTCCAGCAAATAATTAGCATAAAGCACGTGCGCCGTCAACTTGAGCGCGCCCCTTCCTCATTTGTATGCCCAACTTAAACTGGGGGCAGCCCCACTTGCTACCAGTTCAGCAGTTGTCTGGGACCGGCTCTTGTAGCTCATGCTGAAGCTCTAGTTGTAGTTGTGACTGGGTGGCTGGCTACCTGTTGGCTAAACATTCAGCACAGGTGCGTACGTAAAACGCCCTCCAGCACAGCGCATAAGTGTTGAAGGGGTAAAGGGAGAGGGAGATGAAGACGGAGATGGAGGGGGGGCAGCTCGCTTGGTTTTATGGACATTTTTCAAGTCAAAGCAACGCAGACAGTTGCGCATTTCATTTGAGTTCTGTTTTGGCTGATTTATTTGGCCCAGAGGCCAATTGCATGAATCACAACGCATTGCAAGTTGTGCAATGCCTGTTGACCGTAATAGGTAATAACTAGCTTATACCCTATGAATAAAATACAGTTCTTACACTTTGTTCGATATTTTTCTGTTTCCTTTGTTGTCAAATTAAATAAATATATAATAAAAATAAATTAAATTAAATTGAATTAATATTGTTGTCATTTGCAATCACTTAAAAATATATATATTTGTTGTCATCGTTGAATTTTAATATAATCCTTTCATATTTCTCTCTTTGCAGGGTGCATAAGCCATTAAGTTTAAGGCACAATCTGAATAGAAAAAGGCTTGAAGCGCATTTAATTAAGGTAAATTTTAGTTTAATCGCAATTTAGTCTTTAAACATTTTTTACAAACTCTACGTTTAAATGTGGATGGGCTTAAATAATAATAATGCACTTTAATTTGAAGGGGTAATAAAATGGGAAGCACTATTTTTCTTTCAGGCAGTCTATTATTAGGTGAAATAAATATCAGATTTCATGCTCAGAACTCTGATGCACTGGTGTCTAATCTATTTGTATATTTTGTCATACTATCTTGCCTCTTTTTATATTCACTTGTGCTGCTTCTTGTTATTATTTCTGTAGCATGCATATTTAGGGTATCTAAACTATGCAGTTTATGGCTCGACACTTATAGAGCACAGTCTGTTACCAAAAATACATTTTGTATACACCTTCAAGGCGCACTCGATGTTGGTTGTTGCTGTTATTATTATTGCTGCTATCCTGAATATCTGGAGCAGCTTTTGCAGTCTTTGTAGTCTTTTTTTATGCGGTCTGCGCTTTTCACGCTTTGCCAAATTGCCAACTTGACCGGCACAAAAAAAGCAAATCACAAAAAAATAGGCCGCCCATGCGGGTGTGTGTGTGTGTGCATGTGTGTGTGTGTGGGTTTGTGTGTGCAAGTGCGATAAGTGTGTGCTTTATGTGTGCAAGAGTATGTGTTAGTTTGTGCTCATAACATTTTATTTAATGCACATTTCGTTCACAATTTGTTGTTAATAAATGCAAGCCCGCAACGCTTGGCTTGCTAGCTAGCTGCCTGGCTGGCTGCCTGTGTTAGCCTGGTTAGCTGTTAGTTGCCACAGATTTGCAGCAAATTGCGCCCACAAATGAGGTCAGGCAGCATAGGCTGCACAATAAGCGCGATACCCGTTACATGCACACGGCTGCCTGCCTCACGTGTTGACTTGTGAAAGTAAACGCCCCCAGCATGCAGCCTGCAGCCCCCCACCCACTTCACTAGTTGCATGCTTGTAATTTCGTGTGAGCTTGCAACTAACCTTCACATAAATTATTCCCATGAAAGAAAAAAGCTGCAGCAAAGAGTCGAAAGACGCAAGGCAGCTTAAGACATCGTGATAAGCTGCTAGATATTTATCTGGCTAGCAAATTACATGAGGCAACGCCTAGTCAAGTGCCCCGGCTCAATAGAAAGAGAAAGAGTGTGCGAGTGGGAGAGGGCGATTGGCAAACATGCAGCACGTTAAGAGAAATGAGGTGTCGACGCTATTGTTAGGCGTTGCACACAGCCCCAAACACACACCAATCACACACACGCGCACACGCACACACGCACACACACTTTACACACACTCACACTGTACACACACTTTCAAGCACACTCATACGCCTCGTGCGAAGACGTGAGTTGCAATTGAAAGACCAAGATTCTTTTTGGGCAACTCCAAATCGTTTTCTTGATTCTTAGAAAGAGGAGTAGCGATGGAGGCATGCATATAAAACCGCTGTTAAAAGGCCATTAAATTTAGAAAATAGATTGTGAAATACAGTAGAACTTCATTAGCACGAGAGAATGATGCACTTCAATAAAATTCAAATGAATTCGAATCGAGTAAAAAGCAATTAAGCCAAAATTAAATTAGCATAAAATTCCTTAGGCCAAGCACGTTAAATCTTTAAGCCAGCAACAGGCTCAAAATACTCGAAATAAGTGCGATGAACTCGAATCAAGCTGGCCACATTTTTTATAACACATTTTTTGCCAATTTTTGTTAGTTATCTTTGAATTAAATAAAATTTGTTTCCTCACGTTTACTCCTTTATTTATTATAAATTTTTTTAAATATATTTTTGAATTCTTGTTTGTAATTAATTTTGAGAAGTTTTATTGTGTTGTAAAATTAATCAGTTAAGAATTGAGCTCTGTGTGTCTTTAAGCCGTTTTTGTAGTTGGCACTTAACGAGCTAATGAGGCACATATAATTTTATTTTAATTGGCACCAAGCACACAGGCACAGACACACAGAAATCCATCTGCATATGTCTATATTTACGTATAATTATTCATTGAGAGCCAAGCCCATATTATGATTGTGCTGTATGTTGTACTCTGTACTGGGGCGCTGCTGGCAGGAATCAACGTGTAGCAGCAATCATTTCGATAACACTTGAATACAAAATGAGGGTCATTAATTTTATAACAAAGTATGTTGGCCCCGGCAAGGGGGCACACAACACAGCTTGAGCGGCAAGCTAGGAGTCAGCCAGCGATTTTGGCCAGGCTTACTCTGGGGCCATGCGGCAGTCCGTCTGTCAACTCGACAGTCAGTCAATCATAACCCGTTTCAGCTGCTTCGAGTACAAATCAAACTCGTTATCGTCCCAAAAAGATCTATGCGACCAATAAAATATACAGTACACAGCACAGAGCACACAGCTCAACAGACGCCTACCTTGCCATTGGCTTCAAGTTGTTCGACTCGGCCTGGCTAATATACATATATATATATATATATATATATATATATATATATATATATATATAAATATATATAAAGTATTGTCAAGCTCTACGTGCTTGGCCATCAAAATGCTGCACGCCTCATCAGGCCATAAAGTTAACCAACATCACAGAACTTGGCCCGATGACAGATTTTTTTTCTTTTAATTGCAGCCTGCAAATGTCGTTTACATTTGAACTTCGAGCCAAGTCGTGGACGATTTTTGTTCCGCCTATTTATATATATATATATATATATATAAATTCTTTTGTTTTTGGGTCATGTCTAGCTAATCAACGTCGGCAGCTGGCCGGCTGCTGGGCGGCAATTGCAACGCCCACCGCAAATTTATCAGAGTCAGTCTAGCCTCTGGTCCCTCAGTCTTTGCAGTCCTTTAGATGCCGCCAGTTGTATTAAGCATATTTTCTGCTATGCCAGTCAGGCAACTAGCGAAACGTGAGCTTATGGTTTATGGCGACTTAATAAGACTCGGCCAACCGTCCAACCGGCTAACAGCGAACAGCTAACTGCCTGTTGCCTGTTTTTGTCCCCGACTACAAATCTGCCGTGCGGCGTGTCAACTACAGTCGGCAAAAAAATATGCCCTAAAATGCAAATCCAGAAAAACATAAAATTTCCAAGGAAACGAAAAAAGTTTATAAGAAACCCAGAAATTTGCAGTCTCTGTCGCTTATAGATCGTCGGATTAAAGAGCAATTTTATTTTGAAATTTAGAAAGAATGTTATTATTCAATTTAAAAAATACATATGTTTTTTTTAAGTAACTTAAATTTTTTGAATTTGTAGTAAAATTTTGTTGGTTTTTTCGGAACTTAAAATCGTGATTTAAAAAACAAAAAAAAAAAAATTTAATTTGATCCATCTATCTTGTGGTAATTTTGGAATACCAGGACATGTTTTTTTGCACAGTGCAATGACGACCACATCTGCGGCTGCAGCAGCAACAACGACAACAGCAACACATAAGCCGCAGCACCTAAGCTTGAAGTCGGGGTGAATCTGCGGAATGATAAACAACCGAAGCGTTTTAAACGGCTTCATTAATCTTATTCAGCGCTCCGCCACTGCTGCGCTTGTCTATTAAAGCTTGTAATGCGGAGAGTCTCAGTGAGAGAAAATGATTGCGCCTGCCACAGCTGCTCATCAGCAGCAGCAGAGCTCAGGTTGAAATGTACCAACTGTCAGCTTCACGTCATCCCAACATTTTATGAGCTGCTGTCGCTGCCTCGGCCGCTTGCCGTTTGCCACTCCCACTGTCATTGTCATTGTCATTGACAATGCCAGGGCATAAGTTCAAATCCGGGCCACAGGCCGGAGGCATCTGCTAATTGGTTAAGTTGGCGGCTACTTTAACTGCGAGGACTACTGCGAGGACTACTGCAAGACTATCTTCAACTTTGATGCTGCACTCCTGGCTATTAACAAGAGGCGGCTTTTTCCTAATTCAAGAATTATGATTTTTAAATTATTATATAAAATTTTCAACAGTCTTCAGCAGTTATTCCACTGACGTTAGAGTATTATGGAGTCGGTTACATATACAATATATATGTCAATTTTTACTACCTTAAAATAATTCCAAAGCCGGCAAATCTACAAATCAAAATTACAAATAAATTTCCACGATTTGATTGCTTTAAAATTTATGTAAACCTTTTTGAATTCTCAGAACAATAAACTCACATAATGCAAAAATATGTATGAGGACTGCTTCTCACAAAATATGTTTATATATTTATGGCCGTGACTAATCAGATTTAATGCACATTTCAGTTGGGCCATTCGCTTATGGTTGCAGACACAGAGAGATGCCACATTTTATGGCGGCTACATAAAACGGAAGAAAAGACACAAATAAATATTTCACGTGACCATCTCTAATCTGCATTTAATTACCTAGACGAGTTGGCTAGAGTCAGAGTCTAATGTTCAGCACAAAAGCGAGTTAAGTGTGATTTGTGTGACAGGATTAGCTGTCACGTGTCTATCTTTTGGGAGAAAATCTTTGTCACGTGCTCATCGCTTGATTTGTGTTGTTAGCTGCGTTTGTTGTTCTGTGTCGCATGTCTGTGACGAATCTCGCTGAGAGATTCCTTGCGTCTAACCGTGGCACTCAGACTGGAATTTTGAAAATCCTTTTAGTTTCTGTTTCAGAAAATGATTTTAATAATGATTTATCAGTGTATGTTTCTCAAATGTGTTTCTTGAAAATCGAAAGTACATTTTAGGGCAAGTATTTTTTGCCGAGTGCAGCTGAGAGAGTCTTTTGGTATCCGCCGTCTCATCATAGACATGACAATTCCTTGCCTTATCATTTCATAATGAATTTGTTTTGTCAGCTAATAAATTATGAAGAACACGCTCCACGTTCCTGCCCACAAGCAACAACTAGTCGCTTGTTGATGAAGAAGAAGCTGAAGATGAAGCGGCGCAGAGAACAAGCTCTGAGAGCTCAAAGAACTTCATCATAATCAGCATCAGCATCCACATCCACATCCGCATCGGCAGCATCGGCATCATTGGTAAATGTTGTCCCTA